TTTGCAAAATAAATCAGAATGATTTCTTTACCTAACTAAATATTTTGATTAAAATCAATAAAAATAACAATGTGCGAAAAAGATAAATATTTGCTAAAGATATTTTAATCAAAACAAAACTGGACGTATTGCTTCTGCTTCTTGCACGTGTTTTGTCCTGATTTCTGCTGTGTGGTCAAGTGTCGTTTGAAGTGTATTCTGGCTTTGTTATTTTCCCCCTTAATGATGAATTGATTTATTCTCTTCTCGTTGCAACATAACGTAAATAAAAATTTGCCGATACCAAACGTTTTTGTAAAGTCATCGTATAGCTGATTCTTGCGAGTACACCCAAGCAAAGCTAAAGATGTGGCTGAAGCAAGCCTATTTAATTGAGGGTGTGTGTGCGCATGTTCGAGAGAAGTCACCAGCCTTTCTCAGTTAAGAGGAGTTAGAGAGTAGTCATGTAAGTGTTGAAGAAAGAGAGAAGGAAGGAAATAGCGCAAATGAAGGCTCCACAAAATTTTTAAATCGTTTTAACACATAATTGATCATGGATAGAATGATTAGGAGAAGTCCTCACACAGAGAAGAAACGTAATTAAAAGCATTCTTGATAACACACTACCTAAAAAATCCGGCCTTTTCAATTGACACTTTGGCTTCAATTTGTGGCCTCAAAACGGCCTCTGAGGTTGTGATCACTAGCCCATGTTACTTCCCGCACAAAGTTGTATCTGTACCCCGAATTGGGAATTTGTAGCTTTAAAGATGTGGCCGGGTATACCCACAGAGAGAAAGAGAAATACATTCGCGCTTATATATATATATATTATTAAGAAACGTTTTTTTTGTGTGTGTTTTGAAACAGGGGACAGTCTCATTTTTAAATATCTATTGCTTATAATTAAACGTTGGTGTTTATCTTTAAATATATGTATTATTTATTAAACAACCCTATTATACAAGTAAAGTGAAATTAATAAATGCAAACCGAATAATAAATATTTAGCTTTTTTCTTTTACGTCAAAAGGAAAAACAAAATTCATTTCGTTTTTAAGTAATGTAGTAATGTAGTAAAATATTTTCTCGCTATATGAATATCCTCAATGCGCGGCAAGCAATAATGAAAATAAAGAATAAATTAATTAACATTTTCATAGCACAATTGAAGACGAAAAGGATTGTACATAATTCATAATAGTCTTGTAATCATCATTGTGTAACAAAAATATCTCCTAAGCTCAATTTTAATTTTTCAAAATCTACATGCATTGTATTATTGTGAACTATGTTTTAATATCTTAATTTAGATATTTGTGTTGTGAGCCAAAGATAGTTTTGGCATAAAGTAGTGCTTATGTGTGACACCTATAAGTTCTCTGAGTGTCTAAGGTCCCCCGGTGGTACAGCAGTAAGTCTACGGATTTAGAACACTAAAATCAGGGGTTGGATTCCTCTCGGTGGACACAGCAGATAGCCCGATGTGGCTTTGCTATAAGAAACACACACAGAGACCCTGAGTGTCTAAATTTGAGGAGACGTGCACAATACGTATTGAGTTGTCTTGAGACTTGTGGAAAATATTGTAATAATATAAAACACCAAAGAGCTGTGAGTTAGTTAGTGAGTATGTTCAGTGTTGTCGATTGATTACTGAGTTAGAAGGGGTGTTAGTCAGTCAGATTTGAGATATATGCTTAGTCGTACTTGTGAGTTAGGCCTATTACACAGTGAGCTTCTAGAAATTACCGTAGAAGCAATAAACACTTTTCCTTTTGTTAAATGGACAAGAATTTGCATTGCTTTTACCGAATAATAAAAAATGAACCCTCCTAACGATAAGAACCGTTACAATATTTGAGTCAGGAGTGTGATAATTCTGCTGAAAATAAAATATAATCAAGGACAGCTTCAAGATGATGACACATGCTAGAAGCGAGATTGATAATTTGCTGGAAATGATGAAACAATGGATAGTTGACTAAGAAGAAAAAGACAAGATATTAAAGGGATATCTAGAAGAAAGACAAAAAAAATGGAAGAAAGATACATAAAGTTAAAAGAAATATACTTTCATAGGCATGTCATGCTTCTTTTGAAACAAGTCCTAAAATGAATGGACAAAGTAGTGAACCACAAGCCTTTCATCTTATTACCCATTTGAAAGAACCACTGTTAAGAATATTTAGAGGTCTTCCAGTTTAGAGCCATAATAACTATAAAGTATTGGTGGCTGCCTTTTCAAACAAATTTGGAGTGTTACATTAGAAGGAAGCTTTAAATGTAAAAGAAGGAGGAAGGACGAGGTCTTAGCTGAACTTACAATAGATGTGGATATGCTTGCCCAATTATCTCATCTGGACAAGGACATGCAAATTAGGCTAAAGGAAGGTAAATGTACATCTTTAAAGGAGGCTTTCCAGTGGTAGTATAACTTGAAATAATTAAAGCTAAAAGCAACATCCAAAGGCTAGAGATCATCAAATAAAGTAGTGTGGAAATAAACACTCCCTCTGATGGAAGTCTAGAAGAAATCAAAGGTTTAATTAGACAACTTTATACTGAAAATGGAGCAAGTAAGCCACAACATAACAGAGTTTCAACTGTAACGTAAAATGACATAATGATAGAAACTGCTCCCGGCAGGTGACAGGAAAGGGAAAGTGCAATAAGTGTGGAAAAACAGAGACGTTTCATCCCAGACTATGGTGAATGAATTTTTGAACCAAGGAAACAATATTTTGATGATTAGAATACTCAATAGAAATAAGAAGTGTATTATTAAAACGAGCTAGTCTACGAGTCAATGGGTTTATGTTGACCGACACTAGTTCTACAGCTATCATTATTCGATCTGATTTACTTATGAAATGTGGGAAACTGCCTCTAGAGATGAACTAAAAACGGATTTATAGGCACAGTGAGTGTTAAAAAATTCCAGCATGAAAACTGGAAGTCACTCTTACTTCTCTACACAATATGATGCACGGATAATTGACAAGAAGAAACAATGCATATTGAGAATTGGCTTCATACAGAAACATGGATAGGAGATTAAACTAGCTTAGAAAGCTTCATGGTCAATGAAAATAAATCCCTGCGCGCTTTGCGACAATTACAACTAGAAGTTGGACTTCAAATAACAACAAAGAAGGGTAAATAGGGTGATGAAGAAAGCTGACCTAGATTGCAACAGAACAGAATCCACAAAAATATGTGGTCTAAACCAAGGTTCATCCTTCGTAATCTTCTTTGGGAAGATTGTTTGTTTGTTTGTTTGTTTG